GAATATAAAAGTTTTAAAAGTACAGTTTAAAAGTTCACACTTTCAAATGTTGGCAAAATGTGCAAAAATTGACAAGTGAAAGGTGCCTATGTGTACAGTAACTAATCGTGTAAAGCTATGTTTACAAGAGAGGGAGTGCTGACCTATGAGGGAGGCATTTGATGATTGATGACCGAAGGCAGGAATGATTTTCTGTGGCCGCTCTGTGGGCATTCTGGGTGGAGAGGAGTCTTCTGACTTGAAGGTCGCTCCTTCTGCTGAGCCAGTGTGTCGTAGAGAGTGTGAGACATTGTCCAGATAGACTGAAGCCTGGACAGCATCCTCCTCTCCGCCACGCGTTGTCAGATGTCCCAGGCTCTCCCCACGACATCACCGGCCCCACTGATCATTTGTTTGCTGTGGTATCCTGCGACTCAGCCCCACTGCCCCAGCTGTGAACAGCGAAGAAGATCGCACTGGCCACAACAGATCGTAAACCTCAGCATAAGTCCGGCAGATGTTAAAGGACATCACCATTTAGGAAAAACGTCGGCTTGGCACTTCTTGTAGATCCCTCGGTGTGTCTGTCCAGTCCACTTTTATTAACGTACACCCCCAGGTACTTAGATCCCTCACAGTGGTCCACAGACCCCATGGATGGAACAGGGGCAAGGTTTTTTCGCCTACTCGACACTATGAGCTTCTTTGTCTTGTCTAACAAAGAGTTGTTATTTTATTTGTTCTGTCCTTCACGCTTTACGCTTAGTGGTATATCCCAGTTATATAGTTAATTATACTTGTGAGTGACCAGTGTGCCCTGTTAAAACGTTTCATAGGCTAGTTTACATTAGCTATTATGAAGACATAATCACACAAACCTGAACCTGTCTGGGAGCATCTGTAGGAGCATTCCAGATGACAACAACTTCTGTCTGTCTGGCATCAACTGTAGCTCACTGCTTGAACCCTGGACACCAACAACACCACAATTCAATCGGAGTTGTAATTTTTTACTATTTGATATTTTGTACTTTGTTTTAAACTAGTACTTTACACTACTAGTACTACTTTTTTGTTGTTTGGTGCAATGTGTTGGGTTATGCACACTGGTGCTTATTACAGGTGAGCAGCTGTGTCCGCATTGGATTGGTCAAGTGTAAGGTGCCAACGTGGATTGCTGGCTGGCACTTCTTGCCTTTCAAGCAGAAACCCTGAAATGTTGTTGTTCAATAGGTGACTGAAAAGAGTGTTTAAAAAGTAAAAGATACAATTTAAAGAAAATCAATTATTGTGAACAATTCATTTCTATTCACTACAACAGCTTCTTAGTCCGTTACACTGAACCTGCGTGCTTTTGACAAAATTTGATCTGAGTCTGCTACATAGTAGTGACATTGACAGACTGGATGTTGTTTTATGAGTGGATTGATTGGATAAATATTGCACATTATATCATTCACATTAGGAGCTTTAATTCACAGCAAAAACTTGGGTTTACTTGATATGCAGTTATGCAGTGCTGTTTTCCTTGATTCATCTGTGGGATGAACGTGTTGTGTTCGGTTCTAAGGCGGTTAGGGAACTCTGAGTGTTCTACCAGAGGCATCGGATGGTCCATGCTGCCCACAGGCTTTGGAGAACCTGCTGTTGGCATAGCTGCCTGCTGGCACATTAACCACACTTGAGATGGGATTAAAGATGGAAGACATACACCCACGGGACATTACAGGGAAAGTGTCCCCACTGCAAGGTGTCACAAAAGTCTTGAATTGAAACCATTTTTTTCGGCCAAAGAATGAATTACATTGACCATGGCAAGACTCAAACTTATCAGAACTGCCACTACGGGTGGCCCGGTTAGCTCATCGGTAGAGCTGGCGACCCATATATGAGTCTTGCTGCAGCAGGCCAGGTCAAGTCTAACCTGTGGTCCCTTTGCGCTTGTCATCCCCTTCCTCTACCACATTTCCTGTCGATCTTCAGCTTGTCCTTAACCAATTTAAACCATGAAAGACCAAAAAATAACTTTTCTGAGAGGGAAAAATTTCTGATAATAACACAATAATGATGTCTGCTCCATTGAGGTCCCCCATAAGCAATGTCAGCATACATACAGGCACTAGCACACATAATATTTAATTAATTTGTATGCAATTAATGTTATATTATATGTTGATAAACAGGTCAGAATGTCTGCTATTTGAGATCTATTCCCCAAGAGTCCTATCAAAAATATACCTCATGAGAAATGTGCTTATGAACTCCAGTTGTAAATTGTAAATTTTGAGGCCAACCTATTCCTACTTTTCCACTCCGCACCTCTTTCAGAGCTGTTTTTAAGCAAGAGTGAGATACTGGAGTATCATATCAAACTTAGATTGGTCTAACCATTGTAACCATGCCGTGCTAGCATGATGGGGAGGGACCCTAAATAACAGATCCAAAATTAGGGTACATTTTGACCCTCAAGATATGTGAATGACTGGTTCTATGTACCACAAAATTCCCACTTTCCAGACATCGCCCACTTTATGTAATCCCATGAGTTTTTGTGCATGTGGATATAAATGTGTTTTTACTGCCCAGTGTATTGAATATTTCTTCACACTTGATCCATAAACGTGTGGGAATTGAGATAAACTGGGAATGCTTGACCTAGAACATAAACCCCCTTCCATTTTTTTTAAAAGTTGTTAGTACATATCCTGTGACACAGTAAAATTTGCTACCTTTCTAGTTCATTTTTTATTTATGGTGTCCTGCAGGCTAGTGATCGCAATACATTCTTTCTTTACTCCCATGTGTAGACAACCATACATGAATGTGGAACACTACCAATGAGTAATTGTTTTTTTGTTTTTTGTATATTGTTTGCTTAGCAATGGAGTTGGCTGTGGAAAGAATGTTTCCTGGTGAGTTTCTTAATGTTATAAATTTCACACAGTGCTGTGTAGGGGTCCAGAAAAGTCAGATAATTTGAATGAATTTGAGCATACATGTTGCCATACAACTCTGTTTTAGACTAAAAACACATACATTCTTTTCAATCTAACAAGGTGGCATACTGTATGAGTTGGTTATGCTGCCTATAGCAAATTCAAACAAACTAACCTCAATCGTGTACTGTTTTAACCTGCAATAACTTCCAATATTTTAATGAGAAATAATGTTATTTATAATTTTAGGAAATAATGCCAAGTCAGCCACTTATCCTCACTGACACAGACATATTATCTCTCTCTGACAAGATCAAACACAGCTTGCACACAATCATCTATCCTAATCATGCACACATTCTTAATAATGTCCTTTTTGACACTTTGCTTACTTTTGCTAAGAAAACCCCAGCAAAAACTAAAAATTAACAAATGAAATAATTTTGTTCACTCAAGAAGACAAACCTTGATGACCAATTCAGACTGTTTGTATCACACTCTGCTGCAGTAGACAAACTTGTTCTGTGTTTATAATTCTCCAACCCTAGGGGAAATTGTTCTTTTCACTCTTTTTTTATACACACACACACACACAGGCTGAAATGCACACTTCATGCACTTGTGGACATGAAAAGGGGAGAAAGATGGTTACACACTGAGCTACTGCCGCCCCTAAAGTACTGTAAGATCACTGTAGGAGTAAAACATTGTGATATCTCATATATTTTTTTTTATATTACATACTGTAAATTGCACAGAAAACCACTGTCATAGCATTCATATGGCAAAACTACTAATATCCTTTTACCGTAATAGTAGAAAAAAGTTCTATCCGTATTTATTACGATAAAGTTCTGGCAACCACAGCTGTACACAATGTGTGGGCAGTGTAGACAATATTCTACAATTTACATGTAATTGTCTTCACAGAAGGGAACCAAATGCGGATATGTCCGATCCCCGGGTTGGGAAGCACTGTACTATTAACTACACTTTTGGATCACTGCTGTCAGTTCTATTTTGTTAATTGAGAAGTAGCAAGTCATATAAAAAAACGTTTAGGAGATTTCAGTATTTTTTCAGTATATTATTTTGTTTTGTGCAATGTCTTTGGAGCCTCTTACTCTACACTTTCTTACAGTTTTTAACTAGCCTGGTATTTTTAGACTAATTTGCATCTGCCAGAGCAAATTAAACATCAAGAGGTCTGCAGATTCGACCCAAGACAGGTTTTGCTTGTTTTACTTCCACTGTGAGACAGTAGTAACAATAGTGTTTTACATAATGATATATAATATACATATTGTCAAACCAGAAAAATGCTGCAAACTGTGTCCAGAAATTTTCCCACTGAGGGTGCCTCAACTCAGTCAGAGTTTGGGATTTTACTCTAAATTTGGATTTGGATATGTTTTCCCTCTGAAAATTTGTGCTTTTACCACAGTGTAGAAATACTCTGTAACACTGTAAATCCAGACAACACATTTTAATAAAAGCAGTAAACTAACCTAATCCTCCAAAACAATTAGTCAGTCATTCCCATGAATGCAACCCAGCTCTGAATGAACTGTTGAAGTAGTAGAAGAAAACTGAGTGAATTCAATTCAAAGTGTTAACGTTTGTAAAAAGAAGATGCATCAAATGTAGTCTTACTTGATTCAGATGAATAACACAGTTTAAATAAGTTTGGAAATTGCTGTATATGAGTGTAATATATTTACTAGATTTAAGTTCAATTACCTGAATGAAATTGGTATAATTGACTTTGTAAGTCACCATAACAATATGAGTTACTTGAGTAAAAGTACAAAAGTATTAGCATCAAAATGTACTTAAAGTACCTAAAGTAAAATTACTCATTATGCAGAATGGCCCATTTCAGAATTATATAATATTATTGTTTTATAATAATTATAAAGAATCACTTTAATGTTTAATGTTGCGGATGCTGAATGTGACTTTATATACTGCTGGTTAGCTTAATCTATAATAATAATACACCATAATTTATTTTGCATTGATTATCTAAGTCTAAGATTTAAACTAAATGTAGTGGAGTAAAAAGTACAATATTTCCCTAAAGTGGCATAAAATGGAAACAGTCAAGTAAAGTACTTGAGTACATTTGCTTAGTTACTTTCCACTTTAGAGAATTACTGAATACACATAATGTATGTTAATATACGCATGTCTAATAATGTCAATATTGTATGTGTGGATGAACTGAATCTTTATGAAGTCTTGGTTTGGATGATTGCATGTGATACTGAGATGCTCAAATACTGCAGTAGCATTTTATAATGCTATCAGTTAGAGTAATCTGATTACAGAAACCAAAAGGTAATTCCTTCATGATTTCAGATTATGTTTTAATTTACCTTATCTATGTCAATGGATGACATAATCCTGGCATTATGTTACCAGCCAGTGCTCTTGCAGTCCAGCTGGTGTGCTGCTCTCTGACTGCACTGCAGTGCCAGGTTATGTAACTGCCTTGTGTCTGGTAAAGCTTAGAAATTGTGCAACAGAAATGATGCAACTGAAAACTGTGCAATGTCCTATTACAATTCATTAGTTATTGCTGTAAACATACAAGATTACATTGTTTTTTTGGCATACACATACGGTTGCGTCCAAGCGGAATACATTGTGTAAATTAGACTTTTAAAACATGAAAAATTATTATTTAAAACAAATGAAATACTACATGTATGTCGCCACTTTCTTGTTTAAAATGCTGTGAAAATTCAAGAAATACGTCCATATTAGAAATATAGAAACTGCGTGACTGGGGTTGAGGGTTGGTACAAATACATTTGATAAAAGGTAGTTAATTACTTAAAGCTGCAGTAGGTAACTTTTATAAAAATAACTTTTTTTTAATCATATTTGCTGAAACTTTTACTATACCCTGAAAGTAGTACATGAGACAGATAATCTGTGAACATATCAGGGTTCTCTGGTTTCTCCCAGTGCTCCTAATGGCATTTGCAAAAGTCCACCAAACCCGAAAGAAAACAACCCATCAGAGCCAATACAGATAGTAAGACACTTTGGGTTGGGGGCTTTAAGATAATTGATGATGCTTGAGTCTCATTCCCAGCGTCCTTATTAAACGACCTGTGAATGAGACTCAACAATCATGGATCTCTCTGATTGGTTGTTTTCTGTAGGGTACTGTGGATTTTTGCAAATACTATTAGGAGCACTAGGAGGAGCCAGAGGAACCTGAATTTTTTTCACATTTTATCTGTCTCATGTACTACTGACAGCTAATATGGCAAAAAAAAAAAAGAAGAAAAAAAGAGACCTTCTCCAGCTTCAAGTTCTCACTAATTTAGGAAAACACTGGCTGAAGCTACTGAACAGCTTCCTGGACAAACTGTGTTATGTAATTAATATTTACACTAAATGAGCAAAAAGTTTTCCGTTAAATAAAAACAGGGTTGAGATGAGCTTATTTGCTTTTTTTTTTGTGGCTTTTTCTGTGTTCCGTTTTACTCGGGTCATTACGGTAGAGGACCCGCGTCTTCGGACCACGCCCCCCTCAGTTCAGCCACTGTCCATCCAGGAAAAACAGAGCTGTCAGCCTGCAAACTGTCCTCCTGTTGCTGTGACTGACCGAACACACAATTGACAGGTGAGTAGGACTGGACATTTAAGCATGTTTGTGCACTGTCGTGCAGTATCGACAAATATTATTAAGCTTCTCCGGGTTGTATCCTCAGCGAGTGGAGGCAGGTCGGAAGATAAATCACTAGCAACGTTAGCTAACTGTTAGAACCTAACTCATAACATTATCGTGACGCTTTTTACGTTGCTAATTCAGCTTTACACCCTAATATGGGAGAACTCATTCTCAGTTTTGACTCAACGGATGTTGATAACCATTCAAAATGTCAGTTATTAATGGACGTTTTAAACGTCACCTTGTGTAATCACGAATACAACACATTCTCAGAACGACCCACCGTGAGTTATTTTCTTTAGTAAAATTTCAACTTGACGGCACCGCCCACTGCGGTGCATTCTGGTGGGGGCCGACTGTATAAGGTACCGAAGGAAGCACAACTAAATGATGTTGCTTTATTCAAATAAGCTTGCCTTCGGTAAACTACACATGCCGAATTGTTAAGTGGTTGCTAACAATGAAATTGGTGATTTGCTTTATGTTTTATGGACATTAAGGGTATGCTAGGAAGCGAGGCAACATTAAACTACCACTCTTTTGAATGGAATTTGGTGCCCAGCCGCAAACTTTGCAGGTTCCTGCATCACCGTGGCGAATAATTATCTACCGCCATCTCGGTGTGGTTGTACGTCTATATATCTGTTTGTCACACTGTGTCGGTAAGGACCCGATGTGCCAGGCAAGAGGGAGAAGTTTTATAAATAGTGTGACATTAACGGCTGGATTCCTGACCTTGTTCTGGTCGGGCCGATGCACTGCGCAGACTCAGTGGGAGGGTACAGTAGGGTTCAGTGACTCTGGATGCGTTCACCTGCTCCGGTTGTTGCAGAAGTGAACCCAAATCCAAAACTCTCAAGATCTGATCTGGGCTAGTGTACGGCTACTACCTGTTGTTAGCTATGTGGGTCCATGAGGGAGTTCCAGGAAGTCCTTGAACAAAAAATGCATTGCACATGTAGTTCTATATATCTAATTCATCAAAAATTGTTTGATTTTACTGGAATTAAATCAAATGTATGTGGAGTCTGATTCTAGTAATTTGAGGGTCTGTGATATTTATGTTAGTCTGGAATTCAACTGTAGTCCTTGAAAGTCAGATGGCACACTGTATGGCAACAAGCAGTACAAACAGTCATTTGTAATTTGTGCATATGGATGTAATCTGATAATCCAAGAAGCTAAAATAGTCTGGTGTATGATGTCAGGTATTCACATCCTTTACTTGGGTAAAAGTAGTAATACCACACTGTAAAAATACTCCGTAACAATTAATAGCCAAGTAATGAAATAAAGTAAATACTGCATAATGCCTCCAGAATCATATATAATCTGTTATTGCTGAATCTGATGCATTCATGTGTATGTGCGCTGTGCAGATACATTTTACTACTTAATATGTCTGGGACAAATTTCCATTGAAAGGCACCATATTTAATGCAATATAAAGTACAATATTTGTAGTAATATTATATTTACTCTTAAATGCAGGGGAGTAGAGGTATAAAGTAGGTGGAATTTTAAATATTAGAGTAAGCAAAGTAAAGTACCTTGTACTTAAAAGTACAGTGCTTGAGGAAGGAAGAGGAAAAATGTGTGTCGAAAATCAGTTTACCAGCAGCTATTGTCTGTTTGAACTACAGCGCATACTTCAGGTACTTCCTCATGCTGTTTTTGCACAACACATGTCTCAATCAACTGATTGCCTAAAAAATCTTGTTTAACATTTAACCCTTCTTATTTTCATGCCATGCCATATTTGCTGTTTATGTCAGTCATGCAACTAAATGCGGGTCATTTTGTGTTTGAGATGTGTTGTCATGATTTCCCAAACTTTTACTCTTGACTTGTTAAAGCTGCATTAGGTCATTTAAAAAAAATAACTTTCTGTCATATTTTCTGAAACTTTCACTGTGTCCTAACAGTAGCATATGAGACAGATGATCTGTGAAAAAATCAGGTCCCCTCTTGCTCCTCCTAGTGCTCCTAATGGTAATTGCAAGAATCCACCAGGCCTGAAAGAAAACAACCAATCAGAGGGGAGAAAAACAAAAAGACACTTTGCAGTGGAAGCTTGAAGAAAGTTGATTGTTGAGTCTCAATCCCAGCGTCAGTATTTGACGACCTTGTAATGGGACTCAAAAATCAACTATCTTTCTTGGCACTGATTGTTTGTTTTGTTATTTTTTATTTATTAATTTATTTTTTAAATACCTGCTGCTGCTTTAAATGAGCTGTTTTTGACTGATCTTTTAAGCATATAGATGGTTTGACCCCTTTGGAGATTTGTCAGTTTCCTCACTTAAAAAGTACAAAATAAAAACAAAGTTTCTGTTGTTTGTGCATAGCATTATATCGCCATTACTGAGACATCAATGAAATGTAAAGTGCTTTTATTTTTACAGAGGATCAGTCTGTATCAGTATGGTGTGTAAGTATAGCTTTGCTGTTTCTCACTATGTAGGGTATGTAATGGAAAATAAACTGCAGTACAGACACAAACTACAGCCAGACATTATAATGAGGTCTGGTAACTGTGAAGGCTATAGCCCTGTAACTTGTATGGAAGCATATATATTTTTTATGTTACTTTACTAATTTATTTAGGTTTTTATTTCATTTGTCTTCTGTCTGTAGTTTCAGTGTAAACTGTTCACACGTGGTGTGTATCCAGCTGCCAACATACTGCCTGCGTGTAGAATTCCAGTTATTCGACAGGAAGCGTTTCCTCATGGTTGAGGGTTTTCATTTTAGAAACTAAAAAAATGGTTGAATGAATGGGAAAGTGTTTTGCGGTAGATAAATGTTTATAACTATGTAGTTACCTGTATTTTTCTCTCCACAGGAGGCCAGGAATCAGTTAAGTTTGAAGAGATCTTCTCAAGATGTTGCCTCAACACCTGAAGCAGATCCGAGTCCTTATGCTGAATGACAAGGAGAATTTAGAGAGGACTCTGTTCAGACTTGAACAAGGTAAATCTTCCTTTCTGATTTAATGGCTGAATGTATAGGGGAGGCTGTCTTCTACTTTATATACAGTAGTAGTAGTATCATAGAGGAGGACTCTGCTGCTGTAGCTAACTCAGATATTGATGTGGTTTGGGTTGAAGCTGTAGATATTTTATGCTTGTATTCAGTACCTTGTTTCTACCAGAACTGTAACTCTGGCTGGGTGGTAAGTGTATGCATATGTCATCAAACACATATTGCTAGTGGAAAAAACCAACTGACTGATTGTAAGCCAAATTCATGTTCTAGATTCTTAGAAGTCCTACAGTCCACTACTAGTGCAATGGGAATCTGTGATAGATAGTGTTAGGTAGTAATGCTGGGTAGAATTTTTTGGTGGATTGAATTTTCATGATATAAAGGTAAACTTTGGTATTTTTCGACTCGGAACAACACCTTCTCATGTCTAAGTGACTATTCAATTCAATTCAATTTTATTTGTATAGCACCAATTCATAACAGAAGTTATCTCAGGACACTTCAAATAGAGCAGGTCTAGACCGAAGGTAAGAAGTGACCTGGGTGCTTATTGGCATGCTAGCCGCTAAACCTTGTCCACCTGCTCTCGCACTCTAATTGCTCAGATTATGTAAATGGTAAATGGACCTGTACAGGCTTTGTAGTCTTCCGACACTCAAGAGCGCTTTGTATACTCATTCACTTCATGGATGGCAAGGTCCTCAATAGAATAACTGCGTCTACACATCGGAGCAATTTTGGGGTTCAGTTCTTGTCAAGGATATGCTTGACACATGCGGGGAGAGCTGGGGATCGAACACAACCTTCTGATGGGGGGACGACCCGCTCTGCTCTGAGCTATGTGCACTAGCATGTATGTGTTACACATAAACTCAGTGTAGAGTAATACATGATGCTGTGACTATACTATGAGATGATATGAAGCATATTTGTGTTTATGTGAGAGAAGGAAATTTGAATATAAACATTTAATTCAGATATCTTTCTTGGCTGCAGTTGACTTAGGTTTCTTCATGATAGATCCGTTTGATCGATAAATTAAATGTAAACACACGTGTCAGTACAGGTTAATGAATGGTGTGTGTAAGGAAAGGGCTTCATGGATGTTGCCCTGCATCAT